TTAATTAAGTTAGGTACGGTAACGTACGACCCGACGGTAGTATTATTTATTACGAACGAAGAAGTAAGTAATTAGTTCGTACGTCTACACACACGTCTCTCTCTCTCTCTCTCTCTCTCTCTCTCTCACACACACACACACACACACATGAATCTATATATTCATGATGGAATATATAGATAACAAGGTAAAAGGTTTCATTAAGTGGGATTTGAGTCTAAATGTAAGTAACAAACATCAAAATACTGCAAAAGGCCTTGCAGATTTTGATGAAGGTAGCTGAGACTTATTAACTAAGTCTAAGCGGCCCATTCACCAGAGTTGCAAAGTCGTTAATGAATTACAAACAATCACGATCAATTACAGGCATGCGGTCTACATGTCATGCTCAAGACATAAAACAAGTTTAGATCTTCAAAAACTAAGAGGATAATTTTTACTTAAGGGCTTTACGGTCATTTCCATGAAAGAGAAATTTCATTAACTTCCAAAATCCATACATGCCAATATGGGTGTGTTGGACAATTTAAAGGAAACATGGAACTCAAACATGAGCTTTATTGTATAGAACAGTATTCCTACACTAAAAACCTCATACAGAAAAGTATAGAATAATGGTGTATCATTCATGAACAAAAAATGCCTTTTAAAGTAGAAGACCGATACTCTAAATGATGGCCAAGACAGGAACTTGTAAGTGTTCAAAATAATATTTCCAATTTGCCATGTAACATCACTAGCCAAATGGGGACAGCAAGGTTCCAAAAATTGCTATTTGGGACACAAATGCGAGTGTCAGAAACGTGAACCCCAAAAATGTCATCTAGAAATGAGACCTCCATAAAATACACAGGTGTATATGTACATGTGTATGTGTATGTGTATGTGTATGTGTATGTGTATGTGTATGCATATGTATGTATATGCACACATATATTGAGAATTATGTGTAGTTCACATCTGCATTTAAATACACTACAATTCATATGCCATAACAATAGGAAAGAATCTCAAAAATTAAATAAAAAAATTAAATTAATAAATATTTTTATGAATCTGAATTGTAATTTTATAAATCTGAATGTTATTCATAAAAAAATTGTATAGTTCAATCCAAGGTTGCATTAGAACAACATGGAGAAAAGCTAAAAACTGTTAGGCTTTAATTCAAAATAAAAAAAATTTATTTCTTTTTTAAAATCATTTTTCATTTCAAACAAATATGATGGAAATTTTCAAATTTTTAATTATGTAAACATAAACAATTTTCGTATATAAAACACAATTTTTTCAAATTGATTTATGTAAATTAGGCATTTCTAAATTGCTGATGAAGCATTTCTAAATTGACTTATGTAAACATGGACAATTGTCCATATCCAAAAGAAATGAAAATGGGCTCCAATTGTATTATGTAAAAAAATAATAATACTAATAATTTATGAAGAATGGGCATTTCAAAATTGACATATGTAGCCACAGATCATCATCACCATCATCCGAGCCTTATCCCAATATATGTACACATAGATACTTTTTTAATTATTTTATTCAAAAACACTTTTTTTATTTCAAAAATAAAACATTCTTCATTTCAAATTTGTGTTCCTAAACAAAGAAACACAACATTCTGAAAATAAGATACCTCCAGAAAACAAACACATTATTGGACACTCAATAGAGCTGTGTCTTATCCTTTACTAGAAGAATCGCCCGTGTGTCAGTGTCATCCAAGTATTGACACATGGTCGGACCCTCAAACACACGTATCCATGTTGCATAGATCATGAGAACCTCAAATGCAGAAATTTTTCCCAGAAGCTACATGAGGCTCTCTCCATTGATAAAGAACCTTTCAATCGAAAATGAAGAAAAGCACCTAGTGAATGTACCACAAAGTTTGTGGTGGCATAGCACCGAACGATATAGAAACTTGATTTCCAGATACCAGATCTAAGATCATCTCTAGAATGCATGCGAAGAGACAAACATCACCACAAATTTTAGCTCAACCCATAGTATTCATTGCTTTAATCATATGACAAACAAATGTTTCATTTGAAAACAACTGCATTTGCTGTAGCCTTTGGAAGCCTATATCTTGGGCATCCACAAAACTCCGCTACTCAAAAGGTAATTACAAACCAAATAACAAGAAAACTATGCAAAAGTGCGCATAAATTGGCTTTGCCAAATTGGATCTCACCACTGGACTTCTCCCAAAAAAATATCCATGGAATTCTCCTAGCCACAAGGACACTGACACAAAGGCATCAACATATCTCCAATAGGCATTGAAATTAAAGTCATGACAGTAATGGAGATTTCTAGCACATCCCCCATTGTTTCTAATGGCACCTCCTATATGTCACATGCCTGCCTCATTTTCATCAATAACTTGGACATTTTACCATAACCATAATTTTTTTATTTTTTTTTTCGTTCTTTTAAAGAAGCCCTAAGATTTGTGGTATCAGTGTTCTTTTGATTATTTCAAACTTATCTACTCAATTGAAAGATATTATCTCTTTTTCATATTTAATATAAACTCTAATCAAATATTTTTTTTCATGTCCACTTATTCACTATCTAGAAAACTTTGAAATGATTAAAAAAGCCCCAAATATGCAAAGAACTTTAGGAAACAATGAAAAGGAGGGACAATCCATTTTCCATTTCCATTGAGGTAATCTTGGAATAAGGTTAAAAAAACAAAACAAAACAAAACTTTGCAATTTTAATAAATAACTTCAAAATGAAACAATGGAGTTAAAGACTGCTTTTTAATAAATATTGAAATAGTGACAGTGAAATTTTACACTTCATTTGTAAAAAATCATCATCATAGTCTTTTCCCACTTAATTGGGGTCGGCTACACGAATCCTAGTCTGTCATTCTACTATCTATTAAAGACCATACCCTCAGTGAGGCCATAAGTCCCTATATGTTTTCGGACTATTTCCAACCATGTCCTTTTGGGCCTACCGTTGCTCTTTTCAGTCTTTCTACTTGAACTAACTCGCACCTCCTAACAGGTGCTGTACTTGGTCAGCACCACACATGGCCAGCCCACCTAAGTCTAGTCTGTCTCATCATAAAAAGTATAAAATAAAAAAAAGACATAAGCATTTTAAAAGTAAATAGAAAAGCTTGAAATAATTAAAAAGGACAGTAGAACCTCAATCGCTAGGGTCAATGACCAAATGTCTCAGTGGCTGTCTTGCTAATGATAAAAGTGACACAAGGATGTGCAATGGGGTACACCCAGACAATACTTGGGGGAAGCACATAGAAATCCCCAAAAAAAAGCATTTGAAAATCTTTTTGCAACCCAATCCCCATACACAGATCCATGATTTTATTTCATTCTTAAAGCTAGCGTATCAGAACCACAACAACGCTAGGAGCATGTTGGCCAAGTTGGTAGCCTCTTCACAAATCTAGAAACCTCCACAATACAAATCATAGGAACTCGTACTTTCAAACTCATCACCCTTCCAGGAAATTCTTCAGAAAGGTTAAGCAGAATTTCTCTAGCAAGTCCTTTTGAGTTAAAAGAATCAAATACTAGATAATGTGATAATTGCTTCTCCAATATTTTTGCTAGATAAAAACCATTTCTTCAGAACATCACAAATAAGGATATATTTAACCCATTTGGAAAGTAGAAAGAGAAGCAAATGGTAAGCCTAGTTACCAGTGGAAGGTTCTAACCAAGGAAATCAATGTTTTGATATGTTACTTACTAACCCAATATTGGTAATGATAGTGATTGTTTGTTAAAAACAGTCATAAGCATCATGTATCCATGAATGGTACCTAACTAGTTAAGAATGAAGTCCACTTGCATTTATCCTATCAAAGTCCAGCCCTAAGAAGCTGAGACCATATCTTCACATACAAGGTAAATTCTAAGTGTAAGTTTGAGGGTTAATTTGAAATTTACAATGTTCATGCTACAATTGAAAAAAAATGTGTCCAAAAAGAAAATCTTGGTACGAGAGGCTCTGGAAGGATTAGAAATGTACCTGCTAAGCTGTTTGGATTGTCCCCAGACCATTGAATAACTAGGCAATCCTTATTGAAAGAGTACCTGAAATCATTTGATTCCAATCACAAATCATCTTCAGCATTAGAACAAAAGGGTAATCCACCAGTAAGGAGGACACAAATAAGAACCTAAATAATTTAAATCTGCAATATTTCAAAAACATGGATAAATGTAAACAATAAAACAAAAACTGATTGTCTACCATAGGCCATGGAAAGTATATAAAATGGTCGTACTTCATTTGCTTTCAACAAACGCAAATGAAGTGATTACCTTTCTATCAAATTTATATGGCCCTATTCCTCCCACCTCATACAGGGGGCACCAAATATTGCCAAAAAGGACATTTACTTCATCTATGGTAAATGATTTCTACATCATGTTATAAACTACAGATAAAACCAATTAAAAATCAATCTATACAATATCAAAATAAAGGCCCTAAGATATAAGCATTGAGCTCCAAATGAGCACCCCAATGAAATAAAAAATTGGCAAAACAAACCTGGTTGCATGATGAAATACATATCTATTAGATCGGTGACTTTATTAACTAATTTGCAACCTCATCTATTATTTTTGCTTCACTACATTCCAATTAGAAACATGGGTAGAATGTAGTATGAATGTTAATGTAGTCAAATCTTCTGATTTGTAATTTCAAAGTACGCAAAATTTGTATTCAATACGTTCTCGTGAGAATAATAGAATGCATAAAACACCAAGTAGTCAAAACCCTAACTGTGCTACCTGTTGGACAGTGTCTGAATTTGAAATCAAGGATCTAAGCAAAGAAATTAGATTCAACTCAAACTAACGGGCCATCAATTTGACTTTCAACACACACATATCTGGGAAATACTATAGATTTTATGATTTGAAAGTTGTATTATGTGATAATCATACACAGAGTTATATGATTAGCTAATATTTATAAAAATATAATTACGACAAAAAAGATAGATACATGGACAAAGCAAGAGAAGCAAAACATGCTCGTGCTTCTTATCACACCTCCCAACAAAATAAGAGCCTATAGAACCAGCCACAGCATGGGCAGGAGCCAGTGCTCCAAGCTTCTCCTCCAGTCCAGGGGCTGTGGCCTACAGAAAATAAAACAACCAACACAAAAGGTATTCTCATCATTCCACAAACCATACAATATAGAAGTAGTCCACAGATCACAAATTATATTCTGCCATATTCCCACAAAATATGAACAACTGAGCAAAAACACAACCAGACATGTAAATTATCAAAACAAAAATATGGAAATGCACATAAGTTATCGACCCAAAAAAAAAAAACAACTATGAAACAAAAAAGTTATAGAAATGAGCATAAACTATCAACAATTGCACATAGAAAAGGACATTGTTTTTTTATTCACTCAGTAGGTTCAAAACCAATGAAGAAACAGACCTCCAAGGCAGCCTTAGCCCAAACCCTATGCTCAATATCCATCAAATTCATCCCTGACCCATCAGTTTCATCAATACTTGCATAACCACCAATGAGCAGTGAAGCCATGAATGAGCTAACAAGAGAGATTCTCTCTGTTTTCTCATACACTTCAGGTTGTGTTTGATATAACCTTCGAATCTGAGGGCCAGTAAACCTCTCATAAGCCCTTGACCCAGTGAGCTTAGACAGCTCCATTGCACCCCCAACTGCCTCCTCTATCTCTCTACACTGGACGGTGGTGGTACTATCCATCCAAATTGGTGATTCGTTTGTGGAAAAAGCATCCTTCAGTTGAGATGAGAGAGCGTCCTTTGGGTTCAAAGACTGAAGCAATTGCAGCGAATTTTTTTTCCAATAAACACTCCCATGTTGTTGCCCACTGCCCGAAATTGCAACCACTTTTCCAAAGTCTAATTTTGATGAAGAAAGCTTACTGAGAAGAAGGTCGAGAGCTTCGACCCACATTATAGTGGGAGAAACAATTCTTCCATTAATGGAAGGATCACGGTAAACACCATCTCTGGTCTTGTAATGGGCCAATTCAGAGTCAAAATGGACAGTCTCTGATGAAACTATGTGGAGGTCGGCATCTAGAACAGTTGCCTTGAGTGACCTGAGAGAGAGGGAGAGAGATAAGTAGCAAGGAAATGGGGCAAAAAGACTAACACTCACCTTAACACTTATCCTAACCCTACAAAAGCCCTGAGAGAGAACGTGGAAATGAAACTTGTAAGGAAATGAGGAAAAGCCCTAACCTCATATTTCAGAAAAAGAAAAACATAAAAAAGAATACACCGAAATAGAAATGGAATTGAAAACACATAAAAAAGGTCAACACCCTACTCAAATGCAAAGAAAAAAAGAAATAACCCAAGAAAAATCTTAAAGCCAGTAAAGAGGAACAGAGAACGAGTGATTATAAAACAAAAAAAATCATCAACACTACTAAAGCCAGAGAGAGAGATTACTGAGTTGAACTATCGAAGCCGAGAAAAAGAGCATCATGAGGAAGAGGGAACGCCATTGTTAACTGAGACTAAAGCTTTCTCCACGCTCAAATTTGCGCTGATTTCTGCAAATTTAAGGTCAAATGTTTATTAGAGAAAGATATAAATGAGAAGATTTTACAAGACAAACCAGGAAAGCAGGATATGTAGAGATAGATCGTGTTTATCAGATTGGAGAAAGCGGTCCGATAATGGTGGAAAGAGAATCAATTAAGATGATAGACTTCAAATTTGGAAAATCCAACCGTTGAGTTTCCGAAAGCAAGCTGGCTTTTGTTCTTATCCAAAGGTCATCTGTATAACATTATTTTAGGGCCTGTTTGAAAAAACAGAAACATTCCAATTTTTGGAAATTTGAATTAATCCATTTTAGAATTTTCTTAAGGGTGTGGTTCCCATAAGGTTGCCATGAGAGAAAAAAAGGCGGTAGAGAGCAGGGCAGGCGAGAAAATGGAGCGTTGAGCAGCGTTCCCAATATCAAACCGTACTGTTTAATCCGGTCATGAGCCGGAAGCGGTTCAGCGAGCGTAATCGATAAACCGGCTTATTCAACCATTTTAACCAGGTAAGTCCCATGTTGTCAAAAAATTGTTGAAAAAAATAAAAAACATAAAAAAAACCTACAAAAATATGAAAAAGCATGTAAATAATGATTAAAAAAAACCGTATTCAAATGAAGTTGAAAATTAATGAAAACAATAGATTTTAAATAATTGATTTGTGTCTAAGGTATTTAAAAAAAAATTTGAGAAAGATGGAAAAATATAAAAACGGTCATTAATGACCAAAACAATTTCAAATCTTTAGCATAATATAAAAAATATTTAAAAATATATTATAAACCAAATTTCTTATTTTTGAGATATTATATATATATTTTTTCTTTTTTTTTTTAAATACCAATCGATCACCAAAACCGCCCGAAATCAGACTTTGACCAGTTCCGATCTATTCAGGCGGTTACTTGTTAGATTGCCCGGTTTTTCCAACATGGGTTTTGAGGGAAACGAAAGGAGATGTTGAAGAAATGGGGGACAAAGAGGGGACCTAGAAAAAGGGGTTTAGCTCACAGTTAGCGAGTTGGGAATAACAATATCAAACGGACCTGGTTTCTATGAGACCAAGCCCGTATATGTAGAAATGTGGGCCTCTTAATAAATATTTTTTTGATGGATTTTAAGGCTTAATTTTTAGAGAGATGTAATCTCTAACATGGAGATCATGAATATGAAAAAATAAATAAATTTTTAAAACTAAAAATAATATTTATAGTAAAAAAACATTTGGATCGTAAGTTTCCATTGTTTTTAGACGGAACACCTACTTGCAGCCATCTTTAAGATGGATGCTTTATACTTTCAGGACTGCATATGTAGAAATGCGTTCCAACCCGCATGAAACAATTTTCCATAACAAAATATAAGATTATAAGTTGTAGTTAATTGTATGGATACATTAAGACTAATGAACTATAATTATTGTGTTCTTACTTAATGTCATAAGAATCTGTTGTCACGACACACAACATATAATAGATTTATGAGGAGCATATAATCAACAACAACAAACAATAGTACTAAACACAAAAAATACATTAGGAAGCAAAATGTAATAGATTTATTAGGAGCATATAATCAGCAACAACAAAAACAATATTAAATACAAGAAATACATTAGGAAGCAACAAAAACGAAACCCCTGATATGCGATTGTTGTTGGAAGAACAAAAAACAAAAATAGTCCTTTTGTATAGGACTGCGATTAACTAAAACACAAAAACCCAAAAATGTTAAAGAGTCATCCTTCTAAATTGTTATCTTTGTATACACTAATGAAATTAAAAAAAAATAAAAAAAAGTGAAAATTATCAAACTTTTATATACATAAAGAAAACAACAAGATGCTTGAGCAAATCCAAGTATTCAAAGCTCACTTTGAATTCCTAACTGCCTAAATTTTTAGTATTTACTTAATATCTCTCTTACTTTTTACATAATGACGCTTTGTGTTTAAAGGATAAAAAGATTTTTCATTGGGCTACTCTTCATCTAACTCTAACTATTATTTTAAGATGGAAAAGTCTTCCCAAAGTCTTTAGACGAAAATAAACCGGGATTTCGCCTATGTTCATCACCGTCTAAAGTTCATCACACGGTCACGATTGTCCAGCAATATTTTATTTTTCTATTTTTTTTATAAATAGAAATGATCTAAAATTTGGAGCATATGTACATCTTAGTGAGGCGCACCTAATAAAAATATGAAAAAAAATATTTCGTAAAATATAAATTGACCAAAATACCCCTATAATTTTTCAGATGTATTTTGGTCATTTATATTTTTTGAATTATTTGTTTTATATTTTTATTAGATTCTAATATTTTTTATAAACACACCTCCAAATTTCAGATCATTCCAATAAGTAGAAAAAAAAATAAAAATTGAAACACTATTAGACAATTGTGATCGTACGATGAACTTTGGACGGTGATGAGCATAGGCGAAATCACTGTTCACACTGTTCATTTTCACTTATAAGCATTGCATAGTATTTTCCTTTTAAGATATATGTTTATTTTAATGGATTATTTTTTAGACAATATATTGTATTTTTATATATATAATATAACATATTGGAGGAAGTCTCTTATGGAAATTTAGTTAAATCAAGATTCTCAACTTAGTTTGACTTTTAATGTGCTTATCTCTAAATCAAAGTTCAAAGATTGTAAATAAATGAAAAGATAAATTTATAGGGAAGAAGTTTTTTTAAAAAATATAAAATATGGATTTTTATGAATTCCGTTAAAAAACACAATTTTTTGAAGATTTTTTGAAAAAGTTAGAGTTTTTAACGAATTTTAAAAAATTAAAGATTTTTTTAAAAAATCGTGTTTGAGATGGAGACTTGCTAACTATGGTTTAGCCACATAGAGAGAAAGAGAGAGTTGCTAGTTCACAAACAAAAAAAAAAATATCTCCAAGTCAAAAAGTTTTTTTTTAGACGAATATAACATTCTTGTACACAAGAAATCATTTTGACCAGATTTGACATGGACTGTCTGACCCGAGTACCAATTGCCGGACCGCACCATCAAATTGTCGGACCCCTGCACTTATGCCGAACGGAACTTTGAATTGCTGGACCCCTTATTCTAGAAAAATAAGTGACCACACTTTTCAACCGTCAAACCCCTTGTTGTAAATGCCGGAGCACCTCTTTGATCGTCAGACCCCTTTTTGTTACATTAACTTGTACTGTCAGACCGCCATTGTTCTTTACTAAACCAACATTACACTGCCGGACCGCTTTTTCATTGGGAAAGAAGAAAGAAAGGCATGGGTAAAAGTAAGGGATGATAGTTTAAACTTCTTTTTATTTCATTTTTTGGGTTTGGAGGGTTATTTGCTAGAAAAATGTCTTTTGGAGAAAAAAATAAGAAAAAAAATTGGTTGGGGTAACTGGCATAGAAAATCTAGCCTTGAGGGTTATTTGTAATTTGTCCAATAAATTTTGATAAAGAAAAGGAAACATATAATAAAAACTTTATTTTTAATATAAGAAGGTCATAATTATTATTGACTATTAGATTTGAAAGTCAGTGATTGAAGATGTTTCATTATTTAGCACAATATTCAAAACAAAAATTCTCAAATGTTGTGACACACTTTTATCTATTTGATTTGGCTAAAAGTGTTGGTGACCTCATCATACCAAAACTAAATGGTCTCATAGTATACCATCCTGGAAAACATGTGAGAAAAAGGAAAAAAAAGACTATTGGAAATCACAAAGAGAATCTTCTCTTTGAATAAACTCAAGGCTATGCATGATACCACACTTTCATGTCTTATATATATATATATATAATTCATAACCCTTGAAATTATAAACGTTAATGTTAGAATGAGTTGTAAATGATGGATTTACTAAAGAAAAAAATTTATATAGAGCATAGGCAGTCAACAATTAAATTAGAGCCTACCTCAAAAATTTCGCTATAAGAGGTTGTTTTGATACCTAAATATCATCAAATTGATCATCTCAACATCAAGGTACATGGACATGAGAAAAAAATAGATTTTAAGCTTTGGAAACTGTACATCTTGTAATGCATTTTTTGACCGTCAATTTTCAAGATTTTCAAGTTCTTGTAGATATGCTCGATTGACACTATTTTTGAAGTTTTAAATTTTATAATTAAATACGAAAATATATTTTAAAGCTATTACAAAAATTTCCATTATTAGAACTATATTTCTCTGCAGTATTTGAAGGTAAGCTCTAATTTGATTGTTTAGATCCTCAACTCTATACAAATCGCACCTTTTACTAAATATGAGTTGTCTTTTTTAGAAAAAGTTACTTGTCTCCCTTGGCCGAAGTGAATTACTCTACTCGGACTGAGTTCTGTACACGAATAAAAGTCACAAAAAATGAAAAAAAAATAAAAAAAATGAAAAATATATTAATGGTAATAAGAGTAAAAAGAACTCAAAAGTAAACTTAAAAAGTTAAAATAAGCACAAAAAAAGTCGATTTAATATAAATTAATTTATATTGTAGAATATTTGAAAAAATCTCGAATTAAGAAAAAAAAACAATCATTGATCTTTGTCAAAACATCAAAATTATATATAAAAAATTAATATCATATTTGTACTTTTTACAAATTTTTTATTACCCCAAATTGTACCCTTAACTACCACCGGATATGAGTGGACTGAGCAAGACCCAAAACAATAATACGTACATATGCACATACATACACTGGGAAAATATTTATATAGGGTGTGAACCTTATATTATTTAAGCAAGGCGCACCATCAAAACTCACTAATAGATGATGTTTTGTTGCCAAAGAAACACTCTAATTGATCATCTCAACCTCGAAATATATGGGTTAAAAAAGAAAGGATTTTAAGTACTAGAACTTATGCATATTTCAATGTAGTATCTGAACCATTAATTTTCAAGTGTTTGTCATTATGCTAAATCTGTACTATTTTTTAAGCTTTAAATTTCATATGAAAATATATTTTCAAACCATCGTAGGGATATTCGATACTTATAGGCAATGATTTCATGCAACGGTTTTATAGTAATATGATACAACCACCTTCAAAAACTATGTTATGGCCATTTGTTTGATCTAAATTTTGAAATATATACTCTTTTCATTCTAATGGACAATCACAAAAAAGAAAAATTTGAAAACACAATATAGAAGGTATGTTTTAGCCCAAATAACATAGGCCGTTCATTTTGTGAGAAGCTTAGATCTAAGCCTTAGAATGATTTTTTCATTTTCAACTTTTTTAGATGACTTTATTATCATTAGATGAACAATATTAAAAAATAAAAAAATGATTTTAAGTTTATAAAGGTTAAGATCTTGAAATTCACCAAATAAATGGTTTAGACTCGTTTTTAGAGGGGACTCATTTTAACCATATCTAGTGTTCAAATTGAACTTTTTTCTTGAGATTGATTATTGAGATGCAGAGAGTGTGTACAAACTTTTGGGACATACAAATACTACAAACATAGTTTTCTAGAAATGTCATTGCATTATATTATGATACAACCGGTACTTAAAGATCTTTTCGCATCATGTTTTAAGTGTGCCTTGCTTTGATTGTTAGGTGTCAACCTTATACAAAACTGACATACGTGTGTGGAGACAGACTTACCGAAATTTATAATCAGTAAAGGGATTAACAAATCCCAAATTTTTGGATCCAAAATTTATCTCAAAGATGAATTTTGAAGCAAGCCCCAAATATATAGGTGAGTCAGCTAACTTACCAAACACTTTTCTAACATACAATTTAATAGAACACATTTTCTTCTGAAAATGTATACACTATAAAGCATGGCCATTTACTTTTTGTTCAAAAAGATCACAATTATTATTGACTATTAGATGTGAAATTGGATAATTAGAGATGTGTCATTGACTAAACACATTATCCAAAATTAAGTTTTTTAAATGGTCTACTACACTTCAATATGTTTAACGATACATCAAATACATAAAAATGTTTGTGACCTTCTTGTACCAAAAATAAATAATTTCATAATATACAACCCTTTTCCAAAATTGTATACCATGAGATCATTTATCTTTTATACAAAGCCACAATTACTCTTACGTATTAGAGGTCAAATTGGATGGTATGAAATGTATCAAAAAAATTTAAAAAATCTGTTTTTGAAACTTTTTAAGTTTAATCAATAACATGCTCACAACCATCCAATTTAAAATTTGAAAGACAGAAGGACAAAAGTGATTGTGTGCTAAAAGTAGACCGTCTCTTTGTATACATTTCCTTTAAATAAAAGAAATTCAAAATTCCTAAATCGCAATGCCCATTCAGCTCTCACCATTATAAGGAGAGTTGAATCAAACTTTCTCCAAGTTTAATGTCCCATGAAAATTCATGATGCACTAATTGAGATGCATAAATTCGACGAATTATTGATTGGGACCATTCCCACCATTGCATCATAGGAGAAAGCAGGATTCGTTATATGGCGCTGGCCTGGGTAGGAACCCGGTTTTTTATTTATAAATTTCAAGGTCAAATTACTGCATATAACGAGAGCATCAAGGAATTGCTTTAAGGCAGTGTTGTGAAGATTCAAAAAGAGCGAATTATACGTAGATTAGAACTATTTCACTAAAACCTACTCATGTATTTCTCTGTCTACCTGGGGTGGCAACAGGTTGGGTCGAGTCCGGCCAACCCGACTGGACCCAAAGTCATCAGACCCAGACACGACAGGACCCAACTGGACCTGGACCCGAAGTCAACTGTTTGGACCCGGACCTAAATAGTGTTCAGGTCTGAGTTTTGGACCCAAACCCAATTTGTTGGATCCATTTTTTGGACCCATACCCGGACCTCGGTCGCGTCCGGTCGTCGGGTCCGGGTCCATTGCCACCCCTACGACATGTGACCAAGTGAAAAGAAAAGGCTCTGTATATTTGTAGCAAGATGATCACTTTTCATGAACAGACTTCATAGAGCCATTCCTGAGGCTTAAACATGTCATAAGATGTTCAAAATAGCTCCTCTTGAACTTAAGAAAGAACTGTTAACTCACCTCCAATTCCACTAAAAGCTTCATTGATTAGTCAATCCTAACCGTACAATCCATACAAACAAACAAACCATGCAATGTACAAGAGTCTCTAAAAATCAGTCACATGGACAGTCCTGCTCATGATAGTCTACAGGTAACAACGATGGTTGGTGCAAGTATATCATACACATGGAGTCTGCTTGCCTTCATTTTTACATATACATTTTGTACACATTTGTACAGAATCACATGTCCATGCCATCAAATATATCCCAATCATCATTCATTTGCATCTCATCAACAAATTGATCATCATCCATCACCAACTTGCTGTATTGCAGGTAATTAAAACCAATCAATACAAAAATATTCAGTCCTCAAGTTAAAAAGCCAAAGGAAAAGGTGGAAGGAGATGAGAAAATAAAGACAGGCTATTAGATTGATAGTTAGGTAAAATGATGACAAACTTTTAGCTGCAGTTCAAACTTCAGGTAAACCACCAGAATCTTGATGGGCAACAAGATGATTACTTTAAATAAAGGCAAAGGACCTCTTTTCCTTGTCACAGATGAACCATATGCATATCTTCACAGGATTTCAGAGTTATGAATTAACCAGATTTGTAGAGGCTACTCCAAATAAGATTTGATTTGGAGCTCCAAATCAATTTCCTTTTAAGGGGAACGTTTTAGGAGTAAAATCATATGGAATC